GTCTCCCATACCAGGGCTCCTTTTTGAGCACACCTTGATGACGTCATTCCCTCCGGTGTGTCCCATAGTAGAGTGGCCTCGATGACGCTTTTGGCCACACCTTGATGACGTCATCCCCCCAGGTGTGTCCCATACAAGGCACCTTTTTGGCCACACCTTGATGACGTCATTCCCCCTTTAATCCCCCAGGTGTTTCCCTTACCTGGCTGGCCTCTGTGATACTTTTTGGGCACACCTTGATGACGTCATTCCCCCTTCATTCGCCCATACCAGGGCGCCTTTTTGGCCACACCTTGATGACGTCATCCCCCCCTCATTCCCCCAGGTGTGTCCCATACCTGGCTGGCCTTGGTGACGCTTTTGGGCACACCTTGATGACGTCATTTCCCCCGTGTGTCCCGTGCTAGGGCGCCTTTTTGAGCACACCTTGATGACGTCATTCCCCCTTTAATCCCCCAGGTGTGTCCCATACCAGGGCGCCTTTTTGGCCACACCTTGATGACGTCATCCCCCTCCTTTCCCCCCAGGTGTGTCCTGTCCCGGGGCACCTTTCTGGCCACACCTTGATGACGTCATCTCCCCTTAAATCCCCCAGGTGTGTCCCATACCAGTGACACTTTTGGCACACACCTTGATGACGTCATTTCCCTTTCAATCCCCCAGGTGTTTCCCGTACCTGGCTGGCCTCAGTGACACTTTTGGGACACACCTTGATGACGTCATTCCCCCTCATTCCCCCAAGTGTCTCCCATACCAAGGTGGTTTTTTGAGCACACCTTGATGACGTCATTTCCCCCAGGTGTATCCCATACCAGGGCACCTTTTTGGCCACCCCTTGATGACGTCATCCCCCCTCATTCCCCCAAGTGTATCCCATACCAAGGTGTTTTTTTGCGCACACCTTGATGACGTCATTGCCCCTTTAATCCCCTAGGTGTTTCCCGTACCTGGCCGGCCTCGGTGACATTTTTGGGACGCACCTTGATGACGTCATTCCCCCCTCATTCCCCCAGGTGTTTCTCGTACCTGGCTGGCCTCAGTGACACTTTTGGGACACACCTTGATGACGTCATTCCTCCTCATTCCCCCACGTGTGTCCCATACCAAGGTGGTTTTTTGCGCACACCTTGATGACGTCATTTCCCTTTAAATCCCCCAGGTGTTTCCCGTACCTGGCTGGCCTCAGTGACGCTTTTGGCCACACCTCGATGACGTCATTTCCCCCTCATTCCCCAGGTGTATCCCATACCAAGGTGGATTTTTTTGGCCACACCTTGATGACGTCATTTCCCCCAGGTATATCCCATACCAGGGCGCCTTTTTGGCCACACCTTGATGACGTCATTCCCCCGTCATTCCCCAAGTGTATCCCATACTAGAGTGACACTTTTGGGACACACCTTGATGACGTCATTCCCCCTCATTCCCCCAAGTGTCTCCCACACCAGGGTGGGTTTTTTGCCCACACCTTGATGACGTCATTCCCCCTTTAATCCCCCAGGTGTGTCCCATACCAGGGCGCCTTTTTGGCCACACCTTGATGACGTCATTCCCCCAGGTGTGTCCCATAGCAGAGCAGCCTCGATGACGCTTTTGGCCACACCTTGATGACGTCATTCCCCCCTCATTCCCCCAGGTGTGTCCCGTACCTGGCTGGCCTCGGTGACATTTTTGGGACGCACCTCGATGACGTCATTCCCCTTTAATCCCCCAGGTCTATCCCACACCAGGGTGGTTTTTTTGCGCACACCTTGATGACGTCATTTCCCCCTCATTCCCCAGGTGTATCCCATACCAAGGTGTTTTTTTGCGCACACCTTGATGACGTCATTTCCCTTTCAATCCCCCAGGTGTTTCCCGTACCTGGCCGGCCTCCGTGACCCTCCTGGCCACGTCGGTGGCGTCGGCGCTGGCGTCGCTGTGGCTGGGCCTGGTGCTGCTCTTCGGCCTCGGGGACCTGTGCGTGGTGTGCCTGAGCACCTACGGCATCAACCTGGCCCTGCTGGCGCTCAACCTGCGCCGCTGCCGGCGCCGCCACAAACGGCTCTGAGGGACGGCAGGGAGGGAA